TTATTTTTTCCGGTTTTTTTTTTTTTTCCAAATGAATTTACTTTTTACATGAACCTTTCCTCTCTTCTTTGGATATTTTTTCCAAATTTTTTTTTGAAATTTTTTCTAAAATTTTGATATTAGAAATTCATCTTCCAAACATAAATTGGTTCATTCGATAAGAATAAAATATGAAATAGGAAGAGAAGAATAACCTTTTCGATATTTAAATATCATTCAAAGCATTGATGAATGTTTGGTGATATAGAAATAAGATATTTACATAATAGCTTTTATGTCTTGATCTTTTTGTTTATTTCTATTATTGTAACATTCATTCCATAAATAAATGTCGTTGTGATAACAAATAAATTATTTGAATTTTTTTTTCGTCTTTCTCTTATTTTAAACCCCTTTTTCTTTTTACCAAACAACATAAAAAATTACCAATGATTTATGTGAAAAAAAAATTTTTAATTTTTAAACTATAAAAGAAATAAAAGAAGCAGGAAAAGGAAATGAAGAATGTCATTATTACAATTTAAATTTAAAAAATCCAAGCATAAATTTACAATCAATATTAGAAAAATTATATTTTTGATACTTATACATACCTTTCTCATTAATTTTCTTTTTTTACTTATTAATATTATACATTTCTTTTATTTATGTTATAACTTATCAAGTTGTAACAAAAGTAAAGTAACTAAATAAATCAAAAAATTTCATTAACCTCTTAAATATACCTTTTTGTTATTCGCAAAATCAAAGTAATTTTAAAGTAAGGACAAAAAGAAAGAAAAAATTATATGTAAATACCTGTTTTATTTATTTTAAAATATCGTTTTAAAAGTCTTTGCACACAATTAATTCTTCGCAAATTAACCAATCTTTACTCTATCACTTGACCCAATAGTTCCATCTAATCAACATTCATTGCATGATTATTGATTATTGCAATCGTCTTGTTTTCAATTTTATAACTATTAATTACTTCCGACTACCTGTCTATTCATTACCTGCATATTTTTTCCTTCCTTTTAAACAAATATATTTTAGCATAGAGGTTATTTTTTAGTTTATTAATTTCGTTCTTTTAGTGCTTGCATTAAAAAAAAAAGTAATCACAAATTATAGGCTAATAAAAAAGGAAAAAAAAATTCGTAACTCCTAGCATAAAATAATACATTTCAATATTTACATCGAAATTCTGATAATTTAATGTATTGAATTTATTAACTGATAGACTTATTTATTTTATTGAAGTTAACAAAAATTAGCAAAAATTTATTGTTAAAAATTAAATCAAGTGTTGTTATAATAATAATAATTATTATTATTATTATTGTTATCAA